TAATTGCCCAGAGGGCAGTTGAGAGTCAACCACATCGCTGTGGGTCAGGAGTCACATGTAGGCCAGACCAGGTAAGGATGGCAGTTTCCTTCCCAAAAGGACATTAGTGAACCAGGTGGGTTTTTCCCGACAATCAACAACAGATTCTTAATTCCAGATATTTTTATTGAATTCAAATTGCACCATTTGCCGTGGCGGGATTTGAATCCGGGTTCCCAGAATTTTACCCGGGTCTCTGGATTAACAGTCTAACAATAATACCACTAGGCCATCACCTCCCCATATCCCTGAGGAAGGGTCACCGGACCCGAAACGTTAACTCTGACTTTTTCTTTACAGATGCTGCCAGACCTGCTGAACTGTTCCAGCAACTTCTGTTTTTGTCCCCAGCTATCCCTAATTGATCTCAACCTCGACAGGGAGAGTTCCAGATTTCCACTGCCCTCTGTGTGAGGAAATTCTTCCTGACGATCCCTCTCTGAACAGTCTGGCTTGGATTTTAAATTTATGTTCCCTTGTTCTGGACTCGGAATCATTATGGCATTGAAGGAGGTCATTCACCCCATCAACAGTCCATGACCCTTTAATAATGAACACTTCAGGTGAATCATTCCTTATTCGCCCAAACTCCTGGACTTCTCAACACAGCAGAGGGATTATTCTGGAGGCAGAGGAGAAATGATGAGAAAAGAGGAGAAAGGGAAACAAACTGAGATCACTTTCTGTGTTTGGCTTGAGAGTTCTTCAACATATCAGCATCATACTTGAAATTCTGTTTTGACAGGCTGTTCATATTTGCCCAGCATTGTATAAAGTACAACGCAGCTTTGTGAAACTGGGAGTCTGTTAAAGACTGAGTTTAGACTCTGTACTGAGAGGAGCCTCCAGCTGGGTTTCTGCTGAAATCTGGTTTTCATTGCTTGGAGGCTGAGGTTCAGCTTGCATCTCCCGGTATTTGCAGTTCAGCAAAATTCCCCAGGGGTTTACATAGCTCCCAACTCCAGTTCTTTCAAGGTATGTGGTTGAGATCCGCAGAGTTCAATTTTTATTATTATGAAATATTCATACACACAAGTTCCTCCCATGCATGCTACTATAGACAATGATGATGGAATGCAATGTAGCAAGCTACAAGACATTATATAACTCAGAACACTGGTAAACTCTTCAATGCTAATGTAAAACAGACCTTTCCATTTGCTGATTCAATGCCAAATAGTCCTCCTTGAACTTGCAATACAGTATCAGAGAGGAGTGGAAACTCGGCAAACAGACATACTGGAATCATTAACGTGTTTATCTTCAGTGTTAGAACTTCACATGCTTTCCATTTTTTTGCTTTAACTCCTTCAATGCTGTTGGAAATACAGCCAATCGGCAAGGGCTGATTTTAACACAAAGAAAATGAGGGATGTGGGAGTCACTCTCAACTGAAATATAAATTCAACCTTGTCTGGCCAAATCCCCGGGTTTCCTGGAATTTGAGAACCAAAGAACAAAAAACAGTACAGCACAGGAACAGGCCCTTCGGCCCTCCAAGCCTGTGCTGACACATTTTGCCTTTCTATACTAAAACTGCCTTCACTTACAGGATCCATATCCCTCTATTCCCTTCCTATTTATGTGTTCATCCAGGTGCTTCTTGAATGCTGTAATTGTATCTGCTTCCTCTGGCAGCACATTCCAGGCTCTCACCACCCTTTGTGTGAAAAACTTGCCTCTCACATCTCTTTTAAAACTTCCCCTCTCGTACCTTGAACCTGTGTCCCCTAGTAATTGACCTCTCCATCCTGGGAAAAGGCCTTACTTTCCACTCTATCCATGCCATTCACAACCTTATAAACTTCTATCAGGTCGCCCCTCAACCTCCTGCGTTCCAGTGAAAACAAACCCAACTTTCCAACCAGTCATAGAACATAGAACATGGAACAGTACAGCACAGTACAGGCCCTTCGGCCTACAATGTTGTGCCGACCCATTATCCTACTAAGATCAAACTACCCTGCATACCCTACATTATACTATCATCCATGTGCCTATCCAAGAATCGCTTAAAAGTCCCTCAAGTATCTGACTAAAGTATCTAAAGTATCAGTCATTAAGGATTCTGTGGACATGGCTGTAATTAGAAACCCTAGGGGAAAAACTTGCTCGGATATTTACTGAAAACCCTCAACTTTATTTTTCTTTCATTTTCCTTGACTATACCAGAAATAACAAGATCTGAATTTTGGCAAAGTTTGTTTTTCATGGTGGGGTTCACGATCCCTTAATTATCCCCTGGCCCATGTGACTTTTCTCACACAATTTTCCACCCTTCATGTCAGCGGTTATGTGCTGAGCCTCTTTGATGGCCATCCCTCATGGGGTCGTGCTGTCAGGGGGTTCGTTGCAGCCAGGGTTTGGCCACATTCACCCCTTTGGGGCCATGTTTCAAGATCAACTGCTCCCCACTCTAGATGCTACAGTCCAGGCACTATCCCTCACGCGGTGGTCCTCCAGAGATACCTCCAAGCAATGGCCCAGAAAGGAAAATTAGCTCCTTTTATCAATGGACCTGGAGATGCTGGTGGACTGGGGGATGATAAAGAGGGCAGTACGTTGGCTGGTAAAGCAGACCCTGGCACCAGACTCAGACCAAGATAGAGGCCCGGGATTTGTGCAGTGTTCTGGGTGAAACACAATGCACAGCAGTTCAGGAAGAAGGGTGAGTACCTCATCTTCTGTTTACCACCTCACGCTCACAGGGCTGCCACTCATTTTAGCTCTGCCACTGTGTCTACTTCCCACCAAGACTCATGGACTGCCTCGGTACGGCATGCTCGCTGGCTGTCCCCTCATCTTGCCAAACCACTAACCCTTCCTGTTGAGAAATAACATCAGCCGGAATTGTAAAAATGCCCAGTAACTGCTCTTCTACCATTTGGCCACTGCCTTCGAAAATATTGCAGGAAAATTGGCTCCTCCCTCCCTGGACTGATGTCTCCACAACAATGGATGTCCCTGTAATGTTCAGACTGGTTGCCCCTGACCTTCAGGAATGACTGTGACTAGCCCCTCGATTGGAATCAGCTGAAGCCCTTGAATGATTATTCAATTCTAGTTCCCCTTCACTGCAATAAGGATTCTTCCCCATTGAATCCCAGGCACGGCCACTTGTTTGCTGCATGCGCAGACTGTTTGCCTGGTACACTGCTGGAAGGTGTGATATTCACACAGCGCAGATTCCTCTTAACTCTGATTGCCCACATCTCCCATCTGTGTCTTGTGCTTTCCACACAGAAATAAATAAACATAGAAAATAGGAGCAGGAGTAGACCAATTGGCTCTTCAAACCTGCCCCACCATTCAATATGATGCTGCCAGACCTGCTGAGCTTTTTCAGGAACTTTGTTTTTGTTCCTGGAATAGCAAGGTTTGATTTCCACTACAACATCGCAGTTAGTTGGTAGGAAGAATAGAAGCATGGACTACCTCCTAAATGGGGAGAAAATTCAGAAATCTGAAGTACAAAGGGACTTGGGCATTCTAGTCCAAGATTCTCCTATGGTAAACTTGCAGGATGAGTCAGTAGTTAGGAAGGCAAATACAATGTTGGCATTTATCTCGAGAGGACTAGAATATAAAAGCAGGGATGTACTTCTGAGGCTTTATAAGGCTCTGGTCAGACCACATTTAGAGGATTGTGAGCAATTTGGGTCCTATACCTCAGGAAGGATGTACTGGCTCTGGAGCAGGTCCAGAGGAAGTTCACGAGAATGATCCCAGGAATGAAAGGCTTATCATATGAGGAATGTTTGAGGACTATGTGTCTATATTCAACAGTTTAGAAGGATGAGGAAGAATCTAATTGAAACTTAATACTGAATGGCTTGGATAGAGTGGATGTTGGGAGGATGTTTCCATTGGTAGGAGAGACAAGGACCTAAAAGGGAAGACCTTTTAGAATAGAAATGAGGAGAAACTCCTTCAGCCAGAGAGTGGTGAATCCATGGAATTCATTGCCACAGAAGGCTGTGGAGGCCAGGGCATTGTGTATATTTAAGACAGAGATAGATACGTTCTTGATTGTCAAGGGGATTAAGGGTTATGGGGAGAAAACAGGAGAATGGGGTTGAGAAAATTATCAGCCATGATTGAATGGCAGAGCAGACTCGATGGGCTGAATGGCCTAATTTCTGCTCCTATGTCTTATGCTCATATGGATTCATGACAACAGAAAGTGGTTCATTCAGAGAACAAGGTACTTGAGAACAGAGATAACAAGGTGTAGAGCTGGATGAACACAGCAGGCCAAGCAGCATCAGAGGAGCAGGAAAGCTGACGTTTCGGGTCTGGACCCTTCTTCAGTAAAGAAGGGTGTTCATCCAGCTCTACACCTTTTTATCTCAGATTCTCCAGCATTGGCAGTTCCTACTATCACTTGAGAACAGATGTGATTATTAACAGTCCAAGCAGTCGGGGCTGGGGAAAAATCCAGAGTTACCTCGAAGAAAGTGAGAAACAGAATTCTGTGGAGATGTCAGAAGGGAAGACAACCTACAAAGCTGTTAAAAATGTGGTTAAGAAAACCATGTTAAGTAATAAGTGAGTTGAGTTAGCAGCTATTTTAAGCATCTTAGGAAGATACATTAGCTCAAGAAAATGACATGAAGTGACTACGGAGATGTTCTGAAAAGGAACTGACTGCAGTCTTGGCAGATGAACAAAGATCAACAAAGATGACCATTCACTGAGGTTTGGGTGTCTATAAAGTTGTTGAGAGAGAAAGAGTTGGAACTTTCTTTCTTGACATTTGTAATGAGAATGTTTCAAATAATTCTTGGGTTCTTGGATAGTGTAGGATAGTTCACATTTTCTTTTGTGCAATAAACTTTTATGTTCTTTTGGCAGCCTCTTGTGAATATGGTCATTGACTGATCTTCCAGGAAAACAAAAGAAATCAAACATGAGGAAACGCAAGATTATTTTGTGATGATGACACTGTCGTGCTACTGCTGTTGCTAATCAGATTACTTTTTAATATAAAAATATATATCAAAGATTTTTCAGTCTCCTTCACACTTTCCCAAGTTGCGCAAAGATGATTTTCTTCTCTTCTTGTAGGTAAACTCCGTATTCCGTTTTTAACTCCTCCTCTGCTTGTTGCACTGTCTTTACCTCAGCGATTGGTGGCTACAATAGGAGAATACAAACTTTGTGAAATTAAAAACATTTTTTAAATTGTGCTTTAGACCCACCAATCCCTTCCCAATGGTTTGAAACATAGAATACAGAAGCAGGCATAGGCTATTCAGCCCTTCGAGCCTGCTCCCCCATTCAAAATGGTCATGGCTGATCATCCAACTCAGTCCTCTGTTCCCACTTTCTCCCAATTCCCTTTGATCTAATAACAATATCTAATCCTTCTTGGAAACATTCAATATTTTGGCCTCAACCACTTTCTGTGGTAGTGAATTCCATAAGCTCACCACTCTCTGAATGAAGAAATTTCTCCTCATCTCAGTCCTCAATGGCCCACCCTGTATCCTTAGACTGTGACCCCTGATTCTGGGCTCCCACCATCGGGAATGGTCTTCCGGGACAGCAAAAAGATTTAAAAGGGACCTAAGGAGTAACTTTTTCACACAGAGGGTGGTGCATGTATGGAATGAGCTGCCAGAGGAAGTGGTGGAGGCTGGTACAATTACAATGTTTAAAATACATCTGGATGGCTGTATGAATAGGAAAGGTTCAGAGGGATGTGAGCCAAATGCTGGCAAATGGGACTAGATTTATTTAGGATATCTGGTCAGCATGCACAAGTTGGACTGAAGGGTCTGTTTCCGTGATGTACACCTCTATGACGCTATGACTCCATGCTGCCTTACAGTGCCAGGGACCCGGTTTGATTCCACCCTTGGGTGACTGTCTGTGTGGAGTTTGCACGTTCTCCCTGTGTCCGTGTAGGTTTCTTCCCGGTGCTCCAGTTTCCTCCCACAGTCCAAAGATGTGCAGGCTAGGTGGATTAGCCATGGGGAATGAAGGGTTACAGGGATAGGGTAGGGGGTGGATCTGGGTGGGATGCTCTTTGGAGGGTCAGTGTGGACTCAATGGGCCAAATGGCCTGCTTCCACACTGTAGGCAGTCTATGATTCCTGAATTTTCCCTGTATAATCCTGTTAGAATTTTATAGGTTTCTATGAGATATGCCCCCTGCCCTCATTCTCCTAAACTCCAGTAAATATTGTCCTAACAGATCCAGCGCCATTTCACGCATCAGTCCTCTCATCCCGGGAATCCATTGCACTCCCTCCATGGCCAGAAATGTCCTTCCCTTGGAAAAGGAGACTAACACTGCACACAATACTGCACTGACCCATTGCTCAGTGATTGTTATAGTAGCCACATCACAGACAGCTCTGTCCTGTACTCACCCAAGCTCCACCTTCCAACAGGCCTTGCTGGAAAGTGAGCAGGAAGAAGGAAACCTGCCCTTTCACCATAAGCCCCCACTTCTTCAGGGGCATTCATTAAATCCCTTCATATAGTCATACAGCACAGAAACAGGCCCTTTGGTCCAACCAGTCCATGCTGAACATAATTCCAAACTAAACTAATCCGATCTGCCTGCTCCTGGCCCATATCCCTCCAAACCTTTCCTCTTCATGTACTTATCCAAATGTCTTTTAAATGTTGTAACTGTACCCACATCCACCACTTCCTCAGGAAGCTCATTCCACACATGAACCACCCTCTGTAAAAAAAATTGCCCCTCATGTCTTTAAAATATCTTTCTTCTCACCTTAAAAAATGTGCCCCCTAGTCTTGAAATCCCCCATCCTAGGGAAAAGACATCTACCACTAATTCAATCTGTACCCCTAATTATTTTATAAACCTCTATGAGGTCGCCTCTCAACCTCCTAAGCTCCAGTGAAAAAAGTCCTTCCTACCAGCCTATTTTTATAACTCAAACCTTCCATACCCAGCAACATCTTGTTAAATCTCTTCTGAGCCCTCTCCAGCTTGATAATATCCTTCCTATAACTGGGTGACCAGAACTGGACACAGTATTCCAAAAAAGGACTTAAGAGGCCATATTGCTCATTGATTCTGCCCAACCCCCCCCCCCCAAACAGCATCCCACCAGACTCACTCCCCACCCTATCCCTGTAACTCTGATGATTATTCCACCTCACCTACACATCTTTGAACTGTGGGACAAAACCCACACAGACATGGGGAGAATGTACAAACTCCACACAGTCACCTGAGGCTGGAATCAAACC